TTGATTGATTGATTGATTGATCGGCCCCGCAGGCGCACACACACACACACACACACATAGGTAGGATTGTATATTCCCATGTTCTAGCGGAAGATTCATTCGATTTTTTTTTTTTTTTGAATGATTGATTGATTGATTAATTGATTGATTGGTGTGGGCGGGGTCGCCCCGCCATCCTAAACAGGCCCGCACACACAGCATTGTATATTTCCATGTTCTAGCGGAAGATTCATTTGATTTTTTTTTTATTTTTTTTTTTGATTGATTGATTGATTGATGAGAAAACTACGGCGCAGTCAGGGTTACAGTTTGTAATTGCATTTGAAACTGCGTTTTAGCAGTTTAGTCAGGGCCCGAGTTTCAATTGCAGTTGAAACTGCGTTTTAGCAATTTGAAACTGGGGCTGGCTTTTTCTAGCAGTTCAGTCAGGTTCACTGATACAAGGTGAATACCACATGCATTGCACAAAGGTGTTCACACGTACACATCGCACTCGAGCACAAAGCATACAAAAAGCATACAGATAATTGCTAAGCCGGTGGGTCATGGCACCCCGACCGGTTTCGACCGCCGCCACGCAGTCATCCTCAGGGGGAAGATCCACCACTCCTTGTCCCTTGTCTACTCCGTTGTTCCTCTCAATCCCACCTCCGCTGTTGACCATATCGGCATCTCCGGGAACGCCGGTAGGTCCAAACAGCATAGGACCCGAAAAGACCAAGAGCTATGCAATCATCACTAATATAGCTAAGTCACATCGTCCCGTCACACGGCCTCAGCACCAACTACTACTACTCTGGTCACAAGTATCACAACGTCATACTGCAAAACTATCGGCAACGTCCAGCCGGTGCGTACCAGGCAACAAAACGACAAACTGCGAGCCTTAAACCCAACATATGGCCTGACACGCACAGCAAATAACGTCCATGGGCCCCCAATATTCCTGTAGGCCATGGTTCCGGGCCCAACTTCAGTGGCTAGACTTAGGCACAGGGGAAAAAACAACCAAAGAAAAAGAAAAAGAAAAACAAACTAAGAAAAAACAAACTAAGAAAAAACAAACTAAGAAAAACAGAGGCAAAGCTGAAAAGCGGACAAATCAAGAAACGTCGGGAACAATCCAAAAACAGCGAACAGGGTCGCAAACTAAAATTAGCGAGCAAAGGACACATCCAGGGACCAACGGGTCAAAGCCATGTCTTTGATGTCATATGACATCACTGACAGCTCAGTGCTCCCAATTCTTCGGCCAATCTTTTTGTTAATGCTCTCCAGGCGCGGTACCAAGGATGTAACCGATTTCAGGTTAAAATGCCAACTGGTGGGTAGCGTGTTCAGCAAACGGTTAAGAACCTTAGCCACAACTTTGCACGTCCTCACCGTCGGCTCAGCATAGGTCGGACATATAGGTCTATACCTTGTCAGATCATTATGCTTGGGCATCACATAAGCCTCGCCAAAATGCCCTTTGTTGTCCCAACGCACAAAACGTTGCAATCCCATATCCTTCGCGTCCGCCTTCATACCGGTCATAAGCACGTGCTCCGACTCCGTCAACACCGCGTAGCCGGGACTACAAACAAAAAGCTCCATCATGGCCTCATAATACACCTTAGGACAAAGCACCAGGGTCTCGCCTGGGTTACGATCCAGAGGTGTAAGCACCAACCCACGCAATTGTTGCTTCAGTTCACGTACTGTGTTCATCTCCACACACTTCAATTTCGTATCCAGTGTTGCAGTCAAACACCTAGTGACATTCTCCCAGCCAATCGTTGGCGGCACACCTCGAAAGTTAGCCCATCCTTTCACACCGTCCAACACCTCCTTCATCAGAAGCTTCCCTCTATCCGGATGATTCAGCTTCGGCACGTTGTTGGCATTACACAACAGTGGATGCACCTCATCCAGCTCTTGTAATCGGCACTGCACGTGACCTCCTATCCTGGGATAGGGAAAACCTGCACAGGTGCAGGTTAACATATCAGCTTTGGCTAACTCGCGCTGATTGTGAATTATGTCCGCCACAGATGGGTTTTTAACCCAAACAATACGGACACCATTCCGTGCAGCAAACTTCATACACAGGTAGATCTAGGCCTCCGATGACATCGTTCACTAACTTCCGGACTTCCACCAAACGAATCCGATCATCGAACTTCAAACCTACAATCATTCTCGCATTCAGATTCCACCCGTAGGTGCTCTTGATCGTTCTTGACAACAGACGACGCAGGTAGGCAGTAGTCGACGGCTTTTGGAAATCCGCTGCAACGCCATTAAACCGTATCAATGCTTCAAGGGTAAACCGTCTCAGGATATCGGTTCTTTGCGGGTTACGCAGCAAGGAGGTAAGAAATCTCTTATCAGGTCCGGACTTCGGTCTCCAGCGGCGTAGTTGACACACAAGAAGAGGTGTGCCTAGCTCCACGACTCCCTTACATTCACTGAGCTTACAATTCGTGCTATTAACCTTCACAATAGAGCAACCGAAAGCATTACGAACCGACTTCCATCCGCCACACCAAACACTACCGCCACTCGTGTAGAGTGTAAATCGTCGGCAACCCTGCGACTCCTGCGTTACCAATAGCTGGTACAAGTCCACAGTCCACTCATCCGTCTGACATACACGTGCTTTAACGGGCACAACCGCCTTCGGCTCGTAAGATGCTGCGGTGAGCCGCCTACTCCTCTCCCGCTTGCCCTCACGCCGACGCCAGCTATGCTTACGTTTATTGGACTTAGCACACTTTCCCGTAGTATTAAGAATCGGGCTCCATCGACAGATGAAAGTCCGCTCCACCAGTGGTAGGTCCTTACTACGGCATCGGTCAATGGGTAGCAAGACATAGGAATAGTACCCGAACACCCTCCACCATCTGTATAGGTGGTTCTGCTTAAGCCCTCTATTGCAGACGGAGACATGCTCCCTCCATCTAACCTTCTCTCCCCAACTCGTCTGACCGCCATACATAGCCTTACATGTAGGAGAAGTGAGCACGTAAACGCAGCTATCATCCTTCATCAGACCGTCAATACCATACTGTGAGTAGATATTCACCCAAGATTCTACACATTTGTTCAACCATTGGATTTCACCCATCAATGCAAGCGTAATGACAACCAGACGGTACAGCACATCCGTACTACCATCACATCCATACTTCCTACGAATACAAATCACCGGTCGACAAAGCGACCAGAGGCTTGCTGGGCTACATTGGCGGGGGCCGAACCTGGAGGTGTTCGGCCCCCGAACGGGACCCCGAACGCCCGAACGTTCGGGGGCCAGCCCGGGGGCCCCCGAACGTTCGGTCAGGTAACCCTGTATATATATATATATATACAGGGTTGCCAGGCCGAAAGTACGGAGGTCCCTAAGCTGACCCCTGAACGTTCGGGCGTTCGGGTCCCCGTATGGGGCTTGAACTCGAAGGGGTTCGGACATCGCAAAAAACTATTTTCGTACCTACAAAATATTAGTTTTTCCCGACTTTTTTTTTTTGAGTTCTTTGTTGTGTAAGCTACCTGCCTATTAATTTTGAAGGCATTCTGTAAAGCCAAAAAATAATGAAACATCGGCAAAGATGGTGGTGTCAAATGTTGCTTGCCCACTTACTAGTTTATTTTTTTTCTCTTTTCACTTTTTGTTTTCCCTTTATTTCGGGGCATGAAAAACACTATTATTTTTTCAAAATTTATTTATAGGTTCTCTATTATGTAAGATACATATGTATTAAATTTCATTGAATTTTCCAAATCCAAAAAAAAAAGAAAAATCGCCAAAGATGGCGGTGTCAAAAACGTGCTCGTCCACGCAATAATTTCGTTCTCGTTTTATTTTTTCTTATTTTCATTAATATTCTTTATTTTTCGTATTTGATTTTTATTTCAAATTAAGTAAGGAATTTCTTTGTACTGTTCATGCAAATATTGTTTAGTTTATTATTCTGCATCACATATGTTTTTTTCAAATTTTTTTGGAACTTTGTTTTTTTTTTTTTTTTTTTTTTTGGTCCGCACTCGGTCAAACGGGCGACCTCGTCGAGAGGGGGTCCCGAACGTCGGCAACCCTGTATATATATATATATATATATATATGTCCTTTTCTCTCTCTCTGCCTACGGTTTACCATGCAGTTTTGTTTGTGACGATATATATATAGATATATAGGGTTACCGGCGTTCGGGACGGGCCGAACGCCTGAGCCCGAACGCCCGAAGGTACGGGACCCCTTCGGGAGGCGTTCAGCCGTTCGGGCCGAACGCAGAAAAAAAAAAAAAAAAAAAAAAAAAAAAAAAAAAAAAAAAAAAAAAAAAAACAGTTTTTTAAAAATTTCGAAAAAAACCTATGTTATGGAGAAACATAAACTGCACTACATCCAAATTCTTTACCAAATTTGAATTGAAAATCCAACACAGAAAATAAACACTGTGATAAAAGTAAGAAAAAAAAAAAGAGAATTAAAATGAGTGAGTGTGCCAGCACCTTTTCGACACCGCCATTTTTGCCGATTTGTAATTATTTTTTGGCATTGACAAATGCCCTGAAAATTTACAGATATGTAGTTTACATAATCAGTAACTCAGTTAAAATTTTTCAAAAAATAATAAATTTTGTTAGGCCTCGAAATAAAGTGAAAACAAAAAGTTAAAAGTGAAAAAAAAAAAAAATAGTGAGTGGGCGAGCACGTTTTGACACCCCCATCTTTGACGATTTTTAATGTTTGTTTGGGTTTGCAGAATCGCTTCAAAATTTATAGGCGTGTAGGTTACATCATAGACAACTCTAAAAAAAAATGCAGAAAAAAAAACGTATGTGTAGGCCCCGAAATATTTTTTGGCGGGGGCCGAACCTAGAGGTGTTCGGCCCCCGAACGGGACCCCGAACGGGACCCCGAACGCCCGAACGTTCGATCAGGAAACCCTATATATATATATATATATATATATATATATATATATATATATATATATATACAGCGTCACCAGCCCGTACGTACGGAGGTCCCCGGGCAGACCTCCGTACATACAGGCGCTCGGGGTCCCGTACGGGGTCCGACCCCGACGGCGTTTGGCCCCCGCGGACCCGACGGCGTTCGGCCCCCGCCAAAAAATATTTCGGGGCCTAAAGATAATTAGTTTTTTTTTGAATAGTTTTTGGAGAGTTCTCTATGACGTGAGGTACATGCTCGTAAATTTTCAAGATATTTGGATAAGCCAAATAAGAATTAAAAATCTGCAAAGATGGTGGTGTCAAAACGTGCTCACCCACGTATCTTTTCACTTTTTCACTTTAGTTCGGGATCTAAAGAATTTTATTATTTTTTGAAACTTTTTTAGTGGGTTTTGTATTATGTGAAGTAGACACTTGTAAATTTTGAGGGCATTTAGTTATGCCAAAAAAAGAAGAAAAAGCGCCAAAAATGGCAGTATCGAAAACATGCTCTCGCACTCACGTTTATCCCGCTTGCACTTGTAAAGAAGATATGTTGTGAGGTTATGGGTAAAGTAAGTACTCTTTTACACCGCTGTGACACCATGACCCCATGCTGCAAAGACTCGGACTCTGACTCAGCCCGAGTCGTTTCAAAGATAAACTTCCTCACCTCCTTCCTATATATAGCGGGCACAAATAAGGCGCCTAACACCCCGTTCTTCGTGTGCAAGAACCTTGTCAGGGCGCTTGCTTTGGAACAATTGACTGAGCAAGAACCTTGTCAGGATGCTTGCTTTGGAACGATTGACTGACCCCGACTTAAACGCGACTTTGAGCTCTTCCTTCGCACGCAGCAGAAAATTGTCTTGGAAACCAATGATTCTCTGGACCCGGTTTTTCCACGATTCCTTGTTGATAATGATGAGATCCCCTACCTTATGGCAATCTATAAACAGCATAAAGGGACATTCCGCTGGCTTACTAACGCTGAGCATTCTTTCCTTTCCCGACTAGCCGATGTGTGCAATTATGTCCTTAAGGTATTAACCCCCCTCGTCATGGCACATTGTAGCGGATTGGCAGGAGCTGCAAGGAGCTTTCAATCGGTGGACACACAACTTTGGTGGATGGTGGACTCAGTCCAGGAATATTGCTATAACATTTCGGATCGAGTGTTTTCGGTATTCTCGACGGATATTACGAAGTGTTACGAAAATATCCCCATTGATAATTCTGATGATGGTTTACTGAATGCTATTCCATTCTTCGTCAGATGGGCCTTTCGACATATGAGCTTGAATTTCTCCCACTCTGTTGTTCGTTGCTCCATTAGTCGCGGTGACACCATCTCTTCTTGCACCACGGACGGTAAGATGACGTCCTCTAATTCCTTCCTCCTTTCAGAGGGGATGGTCGTAGGTCTGTGCAGATAGTTGATGAAACGCTGCTTTTTCTCTTTGGAGGGTGTGACCTGGCGCCAAAAGAGGGGCTTTCCAATAAGTTTAGCTTGTGTAAATTACGCAAGAATAAATGGTAATTCTCTAGATTTTTTAAACAAAGTTTGAATCTACTTTCTAATAAGTTTAGCTTGTTCCCCAATCTGGTGCAATATCTATTTCTCTAAATACGAGTATTCTTTCATCAGGAGGTTGCTCGGCTTTGTAAACTCGAACCTTGTAGGGTTGTTCAAATCTGCTTTCGGGTACATTGACGACCTATATGTACTGAATAACCCCATGATCCTAAAGTTTCTTGACGCGAACCGACCACGAACCTTTAACAATGCGTTTTGGATCTACCCTTTAGGAATCATTAAAATCAAGAATTAAACTGAAGTATTCCTAAATGGTCCGAGGGACACGATGTATGGCTTGAAAACTCAATTTCTCAATATCGAAATTTCAGTTTTGTCTGAGTCCACGAGAATATTTCGCACGACCAAGTATGATAAGACTAGGAACATGACCCTCCCTGTTATCAGATACATCAAAAGGAGGTCGAGTAGACCTCTAATGTAGTCCATCAACATCATTATTGTCAATTTATTGGTCAGGTTGCGTTGATAATGGTCTTGTGCAATGACCCTGAAGACGCTGCAAACGAAATTGTGATTGTCCTGGATGCTATGGTATGCAATGGTTTCGGGAAAAAGATGTGTAAGAAAACTGCTCTTAGGGTCCTTGACAACCCGGCTTGCTTCCAGGTTCCAACCATTTAGGACGGACGCTACTCGTACAAAGGAGCTGCTCTTGGTAAGATTATTGTACCTTCCGACTGGTTCCCTCCACCCCGACTCTCCTGTGTTTGCGGGTGTGGTGACTCTGTGTGGTTGACCAA